CTAAATTTTGTGCTGTTTTATTCTGAGATTTATTTGTTGAAGATCTGATCTGGAAACAGTTTCAGACTTTCTCTCATGTCTGTCTGACACCTTCAGAGATCGGTGATCTGCAGGAACTGGAGACTCTGGACGTGTCAATGAACCAGCTGGTGTCTTTGCCAGATCGGCTGCACCGCTGTGTTTCCCTGCAGAATCTGACAGCGGACCACAACCCGTTGAGCCACGTTCCTCGGCAGCTCTGCTGGCTCCACCGCCTCAACCAGCTCTCTATGGCTGCCAACCGGCTGACCTTCCTACCGCTCGGTCAGTAATACCCCCCTTATCTGTGTGTTGCCATAGTGATGTAGATATAGTAATATCTCTGTGTGTGTGTGTGTGTGTGTTTCAGATCTGGGCAGATCACGGGAGCTGCAGTTTGTGTTTGTGGACAACAATGTGGACCTAAAAGGCCTTCCCTCCTACTTGTATAACAAGGTCATCGGCTGCAGCGGGTAATACAGCTTACCCAACAGATAACTTTGATATAGTCGGATCAGTTCAACTCATTTTGAAGCAGAGCAGTATGAGTTAATTTAACCATGTATTCACTGAAGAATAACACACAATTATAAAAGAGTGAATAATCTTACATATGAAATTAAAAAACAGATAAACTGAGGGGCTATATCTGTTTGTGTCTGTGTTGTTCTCATACAGGTGCGGTGTGTCAGCCCAGGTGTTGGAGGGTGACCTGGGTGAGGCGCTGGGTGAGGCGCTGAGCGAGGCTCTGGTCGGGCTCCCGGCTGAAGTGAAGGTGGTGGGCTCAGAGACGGATAATGTGGTTCCCCTGGAGGAGCTTGCCATGAGAACCCTGCACCGCATCTACCACCACCGCTCAATAGGTGAGGAGTTATACACACACATATGTACACCCCATATACCGGTATGTGTATATTTTTGTTTTGTTATTTGTTTATACTCAGCAGCTGTCAGTGTCTGATAGTAGAAAGCTATTATTGCATTTAAAAATGTAAAAGTGTGGAACTATGACTGCATCGTTTGACGAATACTTCCTGTACTGTTCTGTTTTTAGACCTCAACTTGCTGCCTCCCATCAGCCTCCCAAAGAGCCTGCTGGACCTGCTGCGCTTCCCCCTGGGGCACTGCCACCGCTGCAGTCAAGCCATGTTCACCATCATCTACCCCAAACTCTTCCCCCTCCGTGACACCGCACTGGCAGGAGTGCACCGCAGGTCAGAACAAACACACCCCCGTCCTCCCCACCCTGCCTACAGAACAACTACAGACTAGTAACAGCTAGATAGCAACCTCCCTCTGTTTTTGCTACAGTGTTGAAAGGGAACTACAAATCTTGTTTCATATTTGCGAATGAATTGTTCTCAGCTTAACACGCTCATCTTTCTCCTGTTTCCTCTGAAGGACGACTGTGAGTTTTGTGGCCTATTGCTGCTCCAGTCACTGTCTCCGGACCTTTGACCTTCAAGGATGATGTTGTTTTCCCTGCCCGTTTGCACATTCGCTCAGGAGCTGTTGAGTGGTTTCCAGAGAGTGATGGACGATGGCTTTTTTTTGTTTTAATTTGCGCGGATCTTGAAGGTCTGTGTGCGTCAGTGCAGGAGCTCTGTGCTCGATTGACAATACTAAGAACCACAGAGAAGCAGCCTGTGTGGATGTTTGGTAGGTCACACCACCGATGTTTCAACACACTTAAGTCAAAGACTCAAACCTACATGATGTTCGTGAGACTAACCAAACGGGAGAATTGTTCCCATGTGCACTTGTGAGACGTTTGCCCTCAGGACTTTCTGCCAGAAAGCCTTATTACTTGGTTAGGTTTAGGAAAAAAGAAAGTCTTTCTGGCAGAAAGCCCTGAAGGTGAACTTCTCCCACATGCTATTCCTATGTGTGTGGTGGGGATCAAAATAACTGCTATGTGTGAAAACTGCACCCATGTGCTCATTTAACTAACTCTGTCTAAAAACAGTATTAGACCTGAAGTAACTACTCACAAATGGGCACTTTTTAAGAATAAGCACTATTTAATTTTTGTGAAAGCAGTCATTTTTCACACAGACGTAGCAGACACATCCCATTGATTGTGGAGTCATATTTGAGGTATTAACATTTGTAGTACAGTTTGTTTTACTGATTACTGAAGACAATTTGAAGTGTACTTTAAAAAAATACGTTTTGATTTGATATGTGTCATTTTCAGCAGCAGGTGTAGGGACTTTGAACAAAGAGACTGAAGTTTAATTTAAGTTTATGTCATGTTGAAAACATGCATTTTTTTTATCATTACATAAACTGCACTCTGTAAAATGTATCAGAACCTAAAGTTCAACAGATTGAACCTTGTAGAGGTTTACCGCCTGCAGCTTGAAGTCATCATCTGTAGAGAATAAGGTTTGTACATTTGCTGTTGCTTGTGTGTTAAAGGTACTTACTGTTGTACAATTCTAATTTATCATTTTTTGATTCTGTTGCATTTATCAGTAAATGTTGACTGATGTTTGACTTTCATTGAATTTGAATCTGTTTTACACCAAAGAGTTCCTCAGAGTGGATTCATGGAAGGTGGAAATTAGCCTGTTAAAACACTCAGACATAGAAAAGAACACAGAACTAACAGAAACACAGGTCACAACAGCTTAACACCTCCAGTTCTGGTTTCTGTCTGTGTCCTCTGTCCAGTTTATAGCAAAGAATGCATCAGTGTATATATGTTTGACTGTCTCTGCGGTAATTCTGGCCATCACTGACATGTAGTTGTTGTTAGTGTTAGTAGGCCAGGACAGTCGAGCCCTTTGGCTTCCCTGCATGTAGGATACAGACCTAACGAACATCCTGGCAGCAGGAAGATGTTGTGCCAAAGCCAAGCGTGCCAGGGGAGCTTTGCTTAACTCAGTCAGTCTTTAGTCGGCCATACCAGCTATCTTCCTCATTCCATGCACTGGAAGCACTGCTGTTTACTCTTACCTGTATTCCCTCCCTGCCTTATTTTGTGTTCATTATCTCCAGCAGTTCTTTGAGATAAAAGATGAGTACAAAGTGACAAGGGTGGTGCCTTTGTGGTCTGGGCGCTGTTGGCATGTCCGTCTGGCACATCAGCTTAACCTCAAATGACACTCAGGGTGATTTTTTTATTTATTTTAAGTAGTTCAGTTTAGAATGTAAACATTATTGCCTTGATTTTCTAATCAGCTGTCATGCTTAAGGGTACAACTATAAACAAAAAAGGGTTCTAAAAGTCAGATTTCTGGCTTCCAGTGTCCAGCGATATCAAAGAATTCTTGTTAAATGTCTATCAACACATCTTTTATCGATGCAACTAAGAACCAGTCATGTTGAAGGTGCTCTGAAAAGGAATAACCACTTAAAGCCTTAATACTCTGTGTGTGTGTGTGAGAGTGATAATGGAGAGGTGGAGCAGAGCACAGCGGCTCCATTACCACGATCGATGGTGTGTTGAGATGAGTGTGAGACCATGATCCTCTCTGGCTGGTGCTTCAGCTTTCCGCCCTCCTCCCTCTGGGACTATCACATCTCTGCTGACTGACCGCACATGTGAAACACCACGCAGGCATGCTGCATGGTCATATAAAAACACAGGGTACACACACACAACGCGAGCAAAGTGTACATAAACAGATAAGGTGCATCCAACATGAGGACAGGGCAGACTGAAACACACAACAACCCACCGTAAAGACAGCTGATGTCATCCAGGGGAAGTCTTATTGCTCAGCAGGAAGCAATATAAGCCGATGATAAAAAAGGTCAGCACCACCTGATTGTGTGAGTGCCGGCGAAACATTTTACTCTTTCTTTCTCTGTGAAATCTGATGCAGTCATGAAGGAAACTTAAAAGAGGGGAGATTTTTCTGAGACTGAGATTTTAAAAAAAGAATGAGATTAGCGTTTTTGTATTCTGTAGCTTTTTAAGTCGAGTTCATGACCCGTTCATGAAGTGTAAGAAATCAGAGCAGTCTCTCTTTTTCTTAGTCCTGCCTCCACAGCCTTATCACATGAACTCATGCCCCCCTTCAGTGACGCCACACTTCTTATAGGCCAAATACATTCATTTGAATAGAATTAAGCTGGATGATATTTAACACTTGAATAACAATTGATAATATATATTGTAACTGTTTACAGTTGAAATGTATTATTTGAACCTTACAACCATGTTTATTACTTCAACGGTTTATCCATTACTTTTGCTATTAACCATTAGAATACTTTCAGCTATCTGTTTCAGGCATTCATCCATTACCTTTGCCTCTAGCTTTCTCAGCTGTTTTAAGGTATTTTAACAGTTCATCTCTTACATGTACCTTTTGAACTGTTTATTCATTACGTCCAGGGGGGGTGGTGATCCAGTAATGGACAGTGAAAAGCACCTGGCCATGCATTTGTTATTTTCTTTCACAAGAACTATTATGAAAAATATACATTATTGATTTAAATGAATAGTAGTCTACCTAATGTAAAATATCAGATGGAAACATATTATGCATATGATCATGAGGTGGGTCAGTGGGGGATGGTCAGTGGTTGTATCAGGACACTCTCTTTGTGGTGCTATTGTCTGTTTCAGCCATTAAGATAATTGCTTACATCCCCACCACAATCAGTCGCAACGTGGTGTTACTGCAGACTCAGTATGTGGATAGTTTAGTTAAATGGTATTTCTATTCTGTCAAAGCTATTCTTCCCTCTGGGGTGCAGGTACCCCTGGTTGGGACTCATTGTAAAGAACCTCCAGCCACAGATTTTAAACCCGAGTATTTGAAACAAGTTAAATCGGCTATTAAAGGAATTACAAGCTTTTAATAGTCATTAAAACACTTTCTCTCGAGGTATGGATTATGTTTTATAAGCACTCAAGTCGATAAAGTAACTGAACCAATTGTGCACTGCGTGTTGTGCTAATATAACTGAGTGGAGCCCATATTTTGAGGCACTGTAGCATTTGGATACATGATGCAACCCCACAGTAATTTCCTGTGTTGAGTCAGGTAGATCTGTGTGTGTGCAATAACAACTGACAACACGAGAATGTTTCAGGAGAACAGAAGCTTTAGGATATGGCACTGAAAGTGATCAAAAGTATGAATATGGACACCCTCGAAAATCATTTTGTATTCATGATGTGACATTTCACAGTCCATGTATATCTAGATATAACCCCCCCCCACACACACACAACAACACACACACGCACACACACACA